ACTACAAACAACAAAAATTAAAATATTTACATTTCTATAGATTCACTACCGATCACATGACTTATTTTTCCTTCTGGGAGTGCAAAATAATTAGCTACATCCAAATGAATGAAGTCTAAATTATCTTCAGAAATAAAATTTTCTTCAGCATTTTTCTCTGTCTTTTTCAGGGAGGCTTGATACAGCTCAACCAGGTGCTTTGGCATACGACATGTACGTGACCAGTGCCCTTTTCCTCCACATCTATAGCATGCATTTTTTGGCTTTGCTTCTTGCACCGCTCCATGCTTTTGTTCCTTCCTTTTCCACTGCTGGTGGTGAGGAGGGTTCTTTGGTGCATTGTTATTACCACGATTAGAGTTTCCTCCCCGACCACGGCCATGACCATGACTGGGGCCACGTCCTCTTCCACGTTTAGTTTGGTGGAAGTTCGTCTCATTCACTTCAGGGAATGGACAAGAACCAGTAGGTCGGCTTTCATGGTTTTTCATTAATAGCCCATTATGTTGCTCGGCTACAAGAAGATGTGAGATAAGTTCAGAATACTTTTTGAATCCCATCTCTCGATATTGCTGCTGCAGGAGCATATTCGAGGCATGAAAAGTGGTGAAAGTTTTCTCCAACATATCATGATCAGTAATATTATCACCACATAGTTTCAATTGGGAAATAATTCTGAACATAGCAGAATTATACTCACTGATAGATTTAAAATCTTGTAGCCTTAGATGAGTCCAATCATAACGTGCCTGTGGAAGAACGACCATCTTCAGGTAGTCATATCTATCTTTCAAATTATTCCACAGTATGACTGAATCTTTAACAGTAAGATATTCCATTTACAGACCCTCATCAAGGTGATGGCGTAGGAATATCATTGCTTTGGCGCGATCTTGATTTGATACCTGATTTTTATCTTTGATGGTGTCTGCCAGACCCATCGCATCAAGATGAATTTCGGCATCAAGCACCCAAGACATGTAGCTTTTGCCCGATATATCCAGGGCTACAAACTCAAGTTTAGAAAGATTTGACATTATTTAGAAAAAGAAAGTTCGTACCTATGATACTTTCAAAGTATTTTCTCGAGATGGCAAAGTCTCGTGCTGATAACGTGTTATAAAATAAAAACTGTAAAGTAAAGACAAGTATAGAGAGAAACTGATATATTATTCAAACTTCAAACTTATGTACATAATGAACTGAAAACTCATCTATTTATAGAAGAAAGGAAGCAGCTGCGAGGCTTTTCAGGAAGCAGCTGCAAGGCTTTTCTTTAACTGCTTGTAAGCTGTCTGCATGAGCTGCTTGCAACCTGCCTGTTTAATAAGAAGCTGCTGCAAATCATTTCATCGAGCTGCTTGCAACCTGTCTGCATCAGCTGCTTGTAGATAAACTTCAACAGAGTACTAAATGGATAATCTTCTTCAGGAAGATTATCTATAGCGGAGTAATAAATGAACATCCACAATATAATTATTTTCATAACAATGGCATCTTTTTTACATATTTTTGTATAGGAAAGTTTTATATTATGTCCATGTTGTATAGAAAATAATTTTTCTTGTGGATATCCATATTGGTTTCTTTATGGACAACTATTTTCACTGAGAACCATTACACACTTGAAAATAAATTCTTAGGTATATATTGTAATTTTGTTTTTAAAAAAATAGATAATATTTTAATTCTGGTTAGGCTGGAATCCTGCTGGTTTATGTCAGAATGCTGACCATATTTTCTCTGCCTATTTAAGTAATTACATAGGTTATGTTAAAACTCTAGATGACTATTTCTATCTTGAGTTATTCTCTCAAGGAAAAAACATACGCCTTTTCTGGAAGGGTCTGAACTAAGAGAAAAATTCTTAATCATGATCTATATACCAAAAAGCAAGCACATGATAGCTAATATTTGGCCAAGATTAATCTATTTGAGAAAGGAGAGAAACATAAGATGCTTTAAAGACCAAAGTGATTCATTGAGGTTAGGTTTGATAACCTTTGTGTTATAATTTGTTTTCTGTTTGTGGAGTTGATTTGCAGGATTATGATGGTCCTATACATTATTATTTCTGCTAATGAGTCTGGTTTTCAAATTGGAGTTTAACTTGCAGAGGTTGTTGCAGGCATTCCCAATAGGATGTCGTCCAGTATCTAAGAGTTGGAGAGGACTTTACAGAGTGTTGTCATTTGAAACAGCTGGCTCTTCTAACTAAGAGTGCATGGGAACAACAACAACATTCTGATATATTTCGGCTTCACACTTCATGTACAATTTTTTTCATGGCACATGGAGAGTTGATGCTTCAGATATACAATTATCTGTATGATTACCAAGCTAAAAGATGTAAAATATGTTATTATACTGTATTTGTAAAATAATTTTGGAGAAAAAAACAACGTATAGACAGCTATGTAGAAGAAATAGAAGTTAATCCGAGCCCACTGAATTCACAGTGTATCCTTAAGGAACTTAATCCCCTCCTAGTACCCGAGGTTGTGGATTATTTACTCCCAGAATAGAACAGATGACACATTGGTATAGCAGTACTTCAAACTCCAGTGTTTCAACGAACACAAATGGCGACAGCAAATCACACTTACTATTGCTTTGTTATAGTTAAAACAATGCAGAAAGGAAGAGGAGAATTCAGAATTTTCGTAAGGAAAATCTGAGGAAATGGTCTTCTATTTATAGCCAACATGTTGGGTTTAAATGAAGAGATGTAACTCTTCAGAAGGTTTGTCATGACTGTTTACGTAAAACAGCGATAACATAAATGGCTATTTACGCAAAATAAAACGGGAATTCAAAACGCGGAGGAAAATTAATTTTCCGTTACAAAAATGGATAATTTGGATTAAATAATATTACATTAATATTTAATATTAACAACTAAATTTGGTCCAAAAAATTAATCAATCAATCGATCATTTGACCAAATTCGAATCCGAAACAAATAAATTTGGTCCAAAAAATTAATCAATCAATCGATCATTTGACCGAATCCAAAGCCGAGGGCGAGCGAGAGACGACGAAGGCACGGGACTTGTTTTCTTCTTTACTCTTTAAGAGCTAGAAGAAGAACAATTGTATATATACCCATCAAAAATCTTTTCCTCCTCCAATATGGGATAATGTCCCTTTGTCAAGGAGGAAAAATCAAAATTTTATTTTTCCTTCCATTTCCTATTCACCCTCTTTTAAGCTAAAATAAGTTTAAAAAATCCAACAATCCCCCACATGAATGGGGAATGGCTATATCACGGAAATATGCATGAAAAACTGTGTGATTCGCAAGCAAGGATTAATCGCATTTGGATAAGTAGGTTTCCCTTTGAACTTTCCGTAGTGAACTTATGCCGGATATACTCGGTCAATCGGTAGATTTGATATCTTTGAACCGTCGAACTTTGGTGTATACCCAACCATAAGTCACACAATCAACCCTTAACCGTCTTTGGTTTTCATTATTGTGTTCGTTTCAGCCATGAACACCGCCTGGTTTCATAAGTGTGTAGAGAACTGGCCTTACAAAATTCTCCTTGAAGCGGCTAACACTTTATACTTACATAGGTGATTTCTAAACGTGTCATCTTGTAGATACACTATTTGATATACCCCGTATCAAATTTAGAAACCATTAAAAAGCCTTAATGCTTTATCCTTGGCACTGAACATTGTCTCATAACGAGAATGGACCAAAATTTTAGTTGACAATGTTGAACCGTCATTAATGTCTTTGCTTGATCTCCTTGAACCTAGATCTTTGAATTTCCAGTCTTCTAGGTAGAGTTACCACCACAATGACTTGTCCTCGACCATAGTCCCATTCCCCTCGATGATTTCTCAACTACCTCTCTAGTTAGGCCTTTCGTAAGTGGATCCGACACATTATTACTTGACTTTACATAGTCAATCGTAATAATTCCTCTAGAGAGTAATTGGCTAACGGTTTTATGTCTTCGTCGAATATGACGAGATTTACCGTTATGCAGAACGCTCCCGGCCTTTTCAATTGCCGCTTGACTATCACAATGTATACATATTGGGGCCAACAGTTTGGGCCAAAATAAAATATCTTCCAAGAAATTTCGGAGCCATTCAGCTTCTTCACCGGCTTTATCTAAGGCTATGAACTCAGCTTCCATTGTAAAGCAGGCAATACACGTTTGTTTGGACGGCTTCCAAGATACTGCTCCTCCACCAATAGTGAATACATATTCACTTGTGGACTTAGAATCAGTTGAACCGGTGATCCAATTTGCATCACAGTATCCCACAATCACTGCAGGATATTTACTGTAGTGCAAAGCAAAGTCCTGGGTATGTTCTAAATATCCCAAAAGTCGTTTCATTGCCATCCAATAAGATTGACTTGGATTACTCGTGTATCGACTCAATTTACTTATAGCACAAGCTATATCTGGTCGTGTACAATTCATGATATATATTAAACATCCCAACACACGAGCATAATCCAATTGTGATATGCTTTGGCCTTTGTTCTTTGTTAGTGCAAGATTCACGTCAATTGGAGTCTTTGCAACTTTAAAATCTAAGTACTTGAATTTTTCAAGTACTGTCTTAATATAATGAGATTGTGACAATGTCAGACCTTGAGGAGTCTTATGGATCTTAATACCCAGAATTAAATTAGCAACTCCAAAGTCCTTTATATCAAACTTGCTAGTTATCATACGTTTAGTCGTATTTATGTTGGCAATGTCATTACTCATTATCATCGTGTCATCCACATATAAGCAAACAATGACTATGTGATATGGAACATTTTTAATGTACACACATTTATCATATTCATTTATCTTAAAACTATTTGACAACATTGTTTGGTCAAATTTTGCATGCCATTGTTTGGGTGCTTGTTTTAGTCCGTAAAAGGGACTTAACAAGTCTACATACCTTTTTTTCTTTACCTGGAACCACAAACCCTTCATGTTGTTCCATGTAGATTTCTTCCTCCAAATTTCCATTTAAGAAGGCCGTCTTAACGTCTATTTGATGAATTTCAAGATCATAAACCGTAGCTAATGCTACTAATATTTGTGTGGACGTAATTCTTGTAACTGGAGAGTATGTATCAAAATAGTCAAGACCTTCTCATTGTTTATACCCTTTGACTACGAGCCTTGCCTTGAATTTATCAATAGTGCCATCATCTTTGATTTTTCTCTTAAAAATCCATTTAGAACCCAAAGGTTTATTTCCAGGAGGAAGATCAACCAATTCCCATGTATGGTTGTTCAATATGGATTCTATTTCACTATTGACTGCCTCTTTCCAAAACAATGATTCCGAAGAAGTCATAGCTTCTTTAAATGTTTGAGGCTCATTCTCCAATAAGAAAGTCACAAAATCTGGTCCAAATGAAGTAGACGTTCTTTGACGTTTACTACGTCTTGGATCCTCCTGATAAAACGTACTTTCTTTTATATCTTCCCGAGGTCGTTTAGATCCTTCACCAATCGACTCACATTCCTTTTTATACGGATATATATTTTCGAAGAACTCAGCATTATCTGATTCTATAACCGTATTATTATGAATGTCGGGATTTTCTGATTTATGAACCAGAAATCGATATGCTTTACTATTGGTCGCATATCTTATGAAAATACAATCAACGGTTATCAACGGTTTTCGGTCTTATTTTTACCCTTTTGGGTTTAGGAACTTGCACTTTTGCCAAACACCTCCACACTTTAAGATAATTCAAGTTGGGCTTCCTTCCTTTCTATTTTTCATATGGAATAGATTGCGTTTTGCTATGGGGTACTCTATTTAGTATTCGTTTAGCCGTAAGAATGGCTTCCCCCCACAAATTCTGTGGCAAACCAGAACTTATCAACAATGTGTTTATCATCTCCTTTAATAAGCGATTTTTTCTTTCCGCAATCTCATTGGATTGGGGCGTGTAAGGGGCCGTTGTTTGATGAATAATTCCATATTCTAAACAAATTTTTTCAAAAGGAGATTCATATTCACCACCCCTATCACTTCTTATCACTTTGATTTTCTTATTAAGTTGTGTTTCAATTTCATTTTTGTATTGCTTAAATGCATCTATTGCTTCATCTTTACTATTAAGTAAGTAAACATAGCAATATCGAGTACTGTCGTCAATAAAAGTTATGAAATACTTCTTTCCACCGCGAGATGGTATTGACTTCATGTCGCAAATATCTGTGTGAATTAAGTCTAAAGCATTTGAATTCCTTTCAACTGATTTATAAGGATGTTTAACATACTTAGATTCCACACATATTTGACATTTTGATTTGTCGCATTCGCAATATTACTTTGAAAGTTAGAAAATTTGCAAATGAAAATGTGGTCGGCTATTAAGAATGACTTAGTTTACTAGAAAAAATAGAAAATTTGCATCTAATCATGTACTCCAAAGGCCAAAAATCATAAACAATTTATGACTCACATCATACGTTGCAATGGTGAGGTATTGATAAACGTCAAACTTGAAAAGATGCAGTCGGCACGTCTACATATTCCCCCCTAATGTGCTCTTGTGAATTGCATGATTTAACACAATTAAGTTTAAAGGTAGCTCCTACCCTTTTAATCACTAATTAGTGCCCGAAATTGCAAGCCATATACTAATAGTCAAGGCTAGTTTATATTTAAACTTACCTAAATTATTAAAGACATGCGTTTCTTAATTGTGCTTCGATAGTAGGAAGAAGTTAGAATGCTAGATGGTAATTTTCTTTCTATTTTTTATAAATAGTGTCTAAAAATGCCTTTTATTGACATTCTCATCGATCCCCTACAATTAAGACAGAATTGGTACATTCATTATTCACTTAATTCGTTAAGATCATAACTTGTATATGTCTAAATTCATCCGAGAGTACATTAGGGGGAGTGTAAATATGCCAACTAATTCTAGGTTTGACCTTTATCGATAATTTACTATTGCAAATTCTAATGCACGATCTGCGTGATATATATTTTTTTGGCAAAGCAAGTCATTTTTAATAATTGATCAAAAGTTCATTAATATGCAAGCTGCATATTTTTTTAAGTAAAGTAAGTCATTTTTATTTATTGACCAATAATTATGTACTATTATATTCTCCTTTTTATATTTTCTTAATAATTTGTAACACGCAATAGCTCCTTTAGTCAATGGCCGAAAATGATAACTATCCCATCTTATAAGATGGAAGATAATTCTGATACTCAATTGTTGATGTTGCATATAGTACTTAATTTTAAGAAGAATATTCTTGAGATTATTTCCTTATTAAAGAAGATATGCATATACATAGTGGTGGCAAAATGGATTAAAAAAAACAGTTATCATTTCATATTATCTACTAAAAAATAGATTGGATAGTGA